CTTTTCTTTATCGTTAAAAGTTTAATACTAGTAGTCATTTCATAGCACATTCGTGTTTAAAAGTTATTTCATAGCACATTGATATAGTTATATATAGCTAAGTAAAAATTGTAAAGACATAAAAGACACGTATAGTCTTACTCGGACTTCTCTTAAACTGAGTTTTACTGTGCGTACTGTTGTACGTTTGTTTTTTCTACATTGGCTAGAGGTATAGGGGGAGGGTTGAGATCTCAAAAAACATGTGTAACCCCGCCGCATTTTTGCGCCTGTCCCAAGTCAGGAGCCTCTGGCCTTTGTTAGTCTTGTATCATTTTTAATTTTAGTTTCTTGTGTATAATTTGGAGTTAGTATGACGTCCATTATCACTGAACTAGTATACATATTTGTTTAGGGGCCAGCTGAAGGACGCCTTCGGGTGCGGGAGTTTCTCGCTGCATTGAAGACCCATTGGTGGCCTTCGGCTGTTGTCTGCTCTATGGTCGGGTTGTTGTCTCTTTGACACATTCCCCATTTCCATTCTCAATTTTGTTCACAGGTCAGTTTTCGCTGAAGGCCAAAGAATGAACAAATTTAACTCTTGTAATCTGTCCTGAATGGTATTTCGCCCACATTTATAATAAATATTCTAGTTTTTCTTTCTCAATTCTTACATGTGGTTCCTGTTTATCAATATAACGAATTTTAGTATAAATAACCAACTGTTGTTCAATGATAAAAATCCATCGTGACAAAAGTCATATACATTTTTGCCAATTGACTATAGGTAAAAAGCGCAAATGTCCGGTCAATTTAATACAGGTGTATCAAAATTCAAAGCGCAAATGGCCATAGTGTTTGGAGCGCAAATGTCCTATCGTGTTACAGGTAAAAAAAAAAAGCGCAAACGTCCTGTGCCCGGTCGTGCACCAGTCAACGTCATTATTGATTTTTTTTCAGATTAAATGTCTATTTCAATATAATTATTGAAGGTATTTTTTTTTTGGGGGGGGGGGGGGGGGGGGGGGGGGGTGGGGGGGGGCAGATGAATTCTTTTTTAATTTTTTCAATATAAATATTTTTGTTATTTTTAGGGTCTGTTTTGTCATTGTGTAGTTCAATTCCTTCCTTAGTTTTTTAACAAACAAATATAAGTTTTATTTCTCAATAAATATTTATTAAAAATGACATCCATCAACTTGGTCCTTTCTTTATCATCTTCTCCAACTTTGTTCTGGAGGTAATGTTTCAGATTGTCCTTTAAATGTTTAGTGCAGAGAAGTCGTGTACAATATTATTTTACTTAACAATTTTATAGCACGAGAGCTTGGATGACAACAACTGTTTTTTTTTCAAATAAAATTACGATAAAATGTCGTTTAAGGAAAGTTTGTCTTTCTTATTCTGGACAAAAAAGACACTCCATCGGAACATCATTTTATAAATACGTGATATAGATAACATAACATAATAAAAAAAAAAATTATCCATAGTTTAGATCATTTTGGGGTGTTCGGGCGGTGATAGACCGCTGTGGCAGAGAGAGCATTAAGTTTGTAACGTTCGTATGTCCGTAAATTAGTTTCCGTTCTCTAACTTTAGAAATTTATAAATGGAAAAATTGCCTCAACCAAATGTTAATACACTTATACACAATGCTTATTATCACCAAACACTGATCAAATTTGAATTTGGGTGGCGTCATTTTGATCGTTCTTGGGTTATAAAAATAAGATGATGTGGTATAATTGCCTATATGAGACAACTCTCCACCAGAGACCACACGAAAGCTATCGGTTACCGTACAATCTTCAACAATTAGCAAAACCCATTCCGCATAGACAGCTATAAAAGGCCCCGAAATGACAAATGTAAAAACAATTCAAACGAGAAAACTAACGGTCGGATTTATGTTCAAAATAATGATGGAAAAACAAATATGATATACAAACGACAACCACTGAATACAGGCTCCTGACTTGGGACAGGCACATACAGAACTAGTTTGAAAGCGCCAACCCTTCCCCTAACCTGGGGTAGTGGTGTAACAGCACAACATAAGAACACAATATAAAAATCAGTTGAAAAGAGCTTAATGTCCCTTTATAAAGGAAATATTGCTGAATATGCCGTTTTCGAACTAACTTTACTACATTGACTCTTGCACATTTACAAGCGGGGGCATCTGTGTAACATGGACACATTCTTCTTTTATTCCACGTTCATTAATGTATGTAAATAGGCCACACATATAACGCCAAGGTGAGTAAATAAAAGGAGATCTGACTTATATGTAAATGAAACCGCAAGAAGACATCTTGTGGCCAGCATATGGTCTTCTACAATAGAAAATAGTAATGCACATTTATTTTGTGATGATATGGTATATTTGATTGATTGATTAATTCTTGCATGCTTAACGTCTAGGGGTAATTATTTCGTGCATATTCAAGGCGATAAACTATAATTAAAACAATAGGTAGGCCAACCAGAATTGAGGATATGTTTGATAAGAGAGATGTTGCAAGGGTTCTTACACGTACAGAGAGCGTGGCACTCTCTACACGGGGCATCAGATTTAACCGGACATGGCTGCGTATTTATACATCCAATACAGCTGAACGGACGTCACATTTTAGCACGGTTTTACTTAATTCAGTGTAAATGGTCGCAGTAGGCGAGACGTAGGTTTTGGTGGCGTTGTTAACCATTTTCATCTACTTAAACATGTTATCTATCTTTCATCAATGATAAACAAAATTCGTATGGTGTTTTTTTTTTTCATAACTGACCTTGACCTCATTTTCGTGCTCCAATGCTCCGGTTATTTTTTAAGATGATCTCTGGATCGGTTCCCGGTAGCATCACGATAGATAAAACAAATAAGACGGAATATACTTAGGGTGCATTCAAAAATAAGTCGAGAGAAACTGACAACGCAATGGAAACAAAAACAGAAAAGACAAACACGTTAACAAAACACTTCACAGAAAACTCTAGACTGAGCAACTCGAAAAACTTGGGGTGATCTAAGTTGTTTTAGGGTAAGCAGATCCTACTCCACTAGTGGCAACCGTCGTGTTACTCATTGTAGACACAAATTCTTCGATGTCACAATCGATGAAAAGAGGACAGGTTTGTGCAATCTGTGACACATATATTCCGTAACGGTTAACAAACTCGTGATGACGTCCGTAAAAGTTCCGAAGGGATAACTTTTCCACTTGTATTCCTTGGTTCAATAGCTTCCTTGTAAGCTGCAACCCTCTATCAAGGAAATTATAACACAACGCAGGATCTGGAATATCGTATCATCTGAGAGATACGGTATACATTTTGTGGCATCCTTTATTTCAATTTTGATTGTATATAGCCACCAAACATTGATTTTTTTAGTGAGAAGACATCATCTATATATATAACGGAATTTAATTTAAAGGATTATGCTAGCTTTTTATTCTTCATGAGAAGTTCCTGTATGAAGTCTGTCGCATATGTCGCACAAGTCGGCAAGAAAAAGAGCACAGTTGGTTCCCATATGAATGCCGATTGTTTGTTGATAAACACGTCCCCAACCTCAAAACGTAACAAATATGTAGTAATAAAAAAAATTAAGCATATTGATGATGTCAGTCTCGAAGAAATTTTTGTTTTAATAAGGAAGACAATATAGAGATTACAATCCGGCTGCACCGTAAACTGTTCAGATTTAGCTTTATAGTTTAGAACGTAGAAGACCTGGAGGCTTCATTCCTTGTATAATATGCCTTATGTTACGAAGTTTCCGCCTGTCATGTCAGTTGTGCTTGGCCTTATTTTCATGGCTCAGCGACTGCATGAAAAAAAAGTATTGTTTTTTTGTCATGTGAATTTCTCACTTATTATGAGTAACTATAGGATAGCTATATTCGGTATTATGAGTAACTATAGGATAGCTGTATTCGGTATTATGAGTAACTATAGGATAGCTATATTTGGTATATGGGTTCCTTGCAAAGGTCCGCTACCCATCGCTAGGTAAACTTAATTTGCGACAGTAAAACCTATGTTTTACGTAGGCCAAGCTTGAAATACCCAGTATGAAAGTATTGTTACGTAGCAGAGTTCCAAAATATTCTATTGCTGGGAGAAATTGGCATTCAAAAGTACATGCAAAATACATTTGCAATAAAACGAGAAGAAATTTTATACATGCGAGAGGAAATATGCAAAGGTGAAAACAACCTGTGCATTCTTTATTCATCTCTTAGTTTGAGCCACGCTTTTAATACCTGGCAAATCGGTAAATCCCTCCTTTATGGTTTATAGATATATAAATGAGAAGAAGTGTGGTAAGATTGCTAATGAGACATCTATCTACCAAATGACGTAAATGAGATGTAAGAAACAATAGATCACCATACGACCTTCAACAATGAGCAAAACCATACCGAATAGTAAGTTATAGCAGGCCCCGAAGTGACAAAAAAAAACCAACGACCTAGTCGAGAGTTATTATAGTATTTTACCATCTTTATTGCAAAATTGCACCCATCCCATAAGGGTCAAGTAATTACAAATAAAAATACATACGCATACAAGAATATAGCAATCAGCATTAAACTGAATATAAAAATGTAAGTTTAGATTAAATATTATGACTATTACGAACTTGTCTGACAGGTGTCTTATGCTCTCAGTAAAGATCGTGGATATCCGGAAATTAACAAAATTCTAGGGAACGACAGAATCAAAACAATACTACAAGATAGGGGCATTAAACAGTATATCAATGAACAATATAATGACAATCAAACTGTAAAGCCAGGTGCTCCAGGAGGGCAAGAATGTGATACTCCAGGAAAGTAATTTACTTTGATGCGAAACAAAACCCACTAGTCACTAGAGCTTTGCAAGGGTCATCTGCGTTTTAAAATTTTAATACATTTTTTGTCTTTGAAATTCGAAAGTCTTCGTAACATGTTTTATTTTAAAGTTTGTCAATAGTTTCAACCATCTAACCATGGCAAAATAAAGTTCAATACCTCTTGAACAGTTTATTTATATAAATGTATCCAGTAACGAAATTCAAGCTTATAGATATTTTTCCACCAATCTTTAGCAGTTATGAATTTGGCACTTAATCCAAGCGTAGCGTTGACATGGAATCTGTATATCAATCAGATTGAATCATAGACTAGCTTTTTTTCTTTTTCTCAAGCGTATTTACTTGTTAAATTATTAATGTCCGAATTGTGAAATGCAAATAAAGTAAAATCTTTTTTGTAAATTCTTCGTATGGCTGCTAAATGTTTTGGTGGTATATGGGAATAATATTTCTGAGTAACCTTTGTTGTTTTACTTTTACTATAAAACAAATCTCGTCTTGGAAATTTAACTCCTTTAGCACCAACATATTGGAGAAAATCAGCAGACTCCATTGTTAAGTTTTCGAACATCCCTATATAGTCATAATTGATCGCACACGGAGCACATACACTCCAATATGTTGCCCAGTGAAAATTGTGATTATTTTTAGTCATAGTTATATATTTTAGAAATTCCAAGAAAGTAACATTAGCTCCTCTTTTCTTCTCACGCTTTGTAGCATTGTGTCTATATTTTGATATAATTTTGGTACCATACTTTTTATGGAATTGATTACTGTTAACGAATTTACTTCTGTATGCTGATAATATTCGTTCAAACGGATTGCGAACAAAAATAACTTTTGTATAATTTTTTATTCGAAAATCGATTTCTTTCTTGTTGTAATGATGCAATGTTTTATAATGGTTATACATTTTATAAAATATGGCATGATTGGTTAGTTTTTGTATTCTTTTGTCTGTAAATTTTCCTGATAATTGTAAAAATATCCTTCTCCATGTTGTAGAAGATACTTTTGGAATCAAGCACATCAAGAAACGATACTTATCGCTCACAATGATACGACCTAAGATATGCTTAGGTAAAACATGTACCGATCTTTGTTTTCTCTCGAATTTTTCACATTTTCTTTGAACGTTGTCAAATCTTTTTCTGATTGCCGCTTTAAACTTACCGAAGTCCAATGTTGAGTTATAGCGTTGCTGAAATGAAAGTCGCATATAAGTTGGGGTAAGAATCATTAAGATGCAACAACAACACACACACTATTTTTTACATATCTTCTTCAATAATCAAATAATGTCTAACCATATCGAGTGCTTTAAATATCCCTCAATCAAGACAGATTGGGAATAAATTATCCAAATATCAGCAATCAACATCAAATTACTGGAGTATAACACATTTAGATATGACTTAAAGTACAGAAAGACATGTCTTATGAAATGTGCAACGTAAATCGGGGTCAAATACTAATCCCCATATACTCGACGACTCGAAAAGAGGGGCGAAAGATATCAAAGGGACATTCAAACTCATTCGACTCAAGTCGAACATAAGCTGACAACGCCATGGCAAAAAAAAATCCGAAATAAGACCAAACAACAGTATACTATAGAAAACCATAGACTGAACAACAAGAACCCCACCAAAAACAGGGGTGATCTCAGGGGAAGTGTAAGCAGATTCTTCTCCACATGTGACAATCATGTAAGAACAAACCCGGTGATGCGTATAAATCGGTAGATCACCGAAATGATGACTCATGTTTTTATTACTTTATTCTATGTTTTAACTGACTTCTATGAATTTAATCATATTTTGCTTATCATTGTTATGTAAAGATAACATTCAAGTTAGATAATTTGCAAGACAAAAATACTTTACATATACTCCTTGTCAGACTTTCTAAAGAAAGGGGATGGCTTAATTGTGTTGTTAGGTCGCTGCTTGCTGACATTAACCACATCTCCATTCATTAATAAAATGCCATGCTACAATTTTAGGTTTTTTTTTATCGATTTCTATAAGTTTTTCATACCTGATATTTCCTCCTTATTTTAAATACTTCTTTAACTTCCTGTCTTCTGGAAAGTGACGAGTTTTCTGCATTTAGAAAAAATAAATACTTTAGCAATTTATATGAAAATTGAGGATACTGTCATGAAAAAAATTGACTAAATAAACTCATCACAGATAACAGGATTATCCTTTTTAAACCAGACGCGCATTTCGTCTACAGAAGACGCATCAGTGACGCTCAAATTAAAAAAAAAGTTAAAAAGGCCAGATAAAATACGAAGTTGAAGAGCATCGAAGACCCAAAATTCCGAAAGGTTTTGCCAATCTAATTACTATTTAAAAATTAAAAGGAAAATATATTAACAAAAATGATATTCGTTAATCTATTAACGATAATCGATACCTATTCAGTATTTAGGTTGCACGATTATGGAATAGTTATTGAACAATCAATAGGGTATATGTTAGTTAAACTGTACAGGTTAGGTGACCCTACTTGAACCGAACGATATCAGGAGTTTGAGACAACGGGTCACCAAACTGTAGGCCTATAATTTACATATACCGATTTGATTGGTCAATAGCTGTTGTAACATATGACGTCATCAATTTACATGAACATTTTAGAGAAACTGGCGAAGTTATCTTGTTTATATAGAAATTAAGATAAGACTCTAAGTAGAAAAGGATTGGTAATTTTCAAATTATTAAATTTCTTTATTTCAGGCTTTCAAGCCTTCACCTTACTGTAATGGTCTCGTTATTTTGAGAATTAAGTTTAAATGACAGATCTTTGATTGTTTCTGTAAAAATTCACAATTTTATATAGATATGGGACGATTTAAAGATTGGCATATTGTGTAAACACCCGTCTGTTGCTGAAAACTGTGTTGCCCTCTAGATATCCTTTGGTTATTTTTGTCGTTGGGTTGCTTTCTCATTGACGTATACCACATCTCTTTAAATCGTTAATTCGTACAGTTTTAGCTCCGTTTGATGAATGTTATATCAAAATCGGGTTTTGTTGATCAGAGATTAAGGTGGTATGAGAGTATAAACGATAATTGATAGAATTATTTTATGCTTTGCCAAAGAGGTGGGGGTTACCCGACTCCAACTTCCCTATCCCCAACTACAACTTCCCTCCTCCTTGCTTCAAAACGAAAATCCGTTTCGGTAAAAAAAAATCCATATAATCTCATTTTTTACCCCCCCCCCCCCCCCCCCCCAACCCCTTCTTCCCCGGTTGCCGCCCCTTGACCCCGATTCCCTTTCCTGACTCTCGCTTTCCGATCCCTCTTTCCCATGTTCCTTTACCCTTGTCTAACCCCTAAAAGTGAGGAGAAAGATATCAAAGGGATATTCAAACTCATAAGTCGAAAACAATGTGACAATGCTATGGCAAAAAAATAAAGACAATTAAAAGACAATCATCGGTACACAAAACATAACACAGTGCCAACATGTGGCATATATAGTGATTTGTTCAAAAATGTAATAAAAATGATAGTTCACCGAGCTTGTTTTTAAGCTACAGATTGTGAAAAATGACACACTTTGTATGGATTATACAAAGAAAAAAACATTTTAAGGTTAATAGAAGGTGAACTATAGATTTTGGAATAAAATATGAGAAATAGCTATATAAAATGGTTTCATAAACTTAAATGAAAAATGGGGTCACCGTTTCAAGAACGAAAAAGAGGATTAATTGAAGAGTGGTATGCCAAAATTTATTCGACAAAGTAAAAAAAGTTATATTTCTCATTATTGTACACCTCGTATTTTTCAACTGCATTCGACGACCTCTTTTTAATGCGCATCTAGAGGAAGTCTATATTGATCTGCATCTTACTTATTTTTCCTGATTATGCACATACTTTAGATATGATCCGCATTAAATTCGGTCCCTAAATATTGCAATCGCAGGGCTAAATATTTATAAAGTCGTAATAAATTCCGTTGAGCACAAAATTAATTCAAATCAAATCTTAAGAATTTAAATTTGCTTAAAGATACTTTTTTTTCAGATTTATAAAAAAAGAAGATTTATCTATTATGACTTAGCCTTGGGAATGATTTAGGATTTACATTGACAAAAATATCGGGAAAACATCCTAGTTTCAAAACTGCCTCAGTTTCATCCATCCTTAACACTTTTACAATACTTATATGTTTTCTTTCATAACTCGAAAAGATGAAGTCTGTACAAAGTTGATAATTGATCAACTATACCGTAATTTTATATAGAGAAAAAGCAAAGCATTGTTCTAATTGTTATTCTTTTTCGTAAAAATTACCAGAATGTTTTCTTGTGAAATTACAATTAAAGGCGCCCTTACAGAGAACGAGCAAAACAACGTGGAGTTCTATTGTTACATCCATGGTCCTTTGTTCTACCACGGGTGATCTGGATCACCCCTCCAGATCAACCCTACCAGATCACCCTAGCTTGAGTTTCTTTGTTCTGCATGCTTTCATTTGTTCTGTAACATTTTGGCGGGAATGTCAAATTTATACTAAAACTTAGAAATATTTATACGGAAAAGACTAACTATCAAAATTTATTGTGAAAAATTCAGTGTCTATGCTGGGAATCGAACTCAAGACCTTAAGCATATAGACCCACGAGTCCCTACAACAACACGACTGGATACAAATATATACAAATCAATGTTAATTTTGACATATTTAAATATTGTGTCCGGGGCTCATAAAGGGTATATACCATATAGTAATATATAAAGTATATAATAATGATTGTGTGGCGTTCTAAACTAGATTTTATGAAGCGTAAATGGTTTTTCATCTAATCTAGAACAGCTGGGATGTAAAATAGTTATCCCATTCAGGGGCGGATCCAGGATTTTGGAAAGGTGGGGCGAAGTATGTAAATCTTGCCGAGCGGAGCGAGGCAAAAAATTTGTTTGACCTTTTTTGGCTAAAAAACATAAAATAAGTGTAAAATGCACTTTTTTAACGCTTCCTGGCGTGGGGCATGTATATTTTATAGTTAAACTGTAAGGGTTGGACATTTTTGATGCCGTATTTGATGTGGTACTTGTCAGTAAAAAATTGACATGGAATATTCTCGTTTGTTGTATGTTTAGTTAGCATAACCTCACGGATTTCTTGTTGTAAACAAGATATACGCCGGGCTATTCAATGAAATTTACAATACGACCGACACGATTTTTATCCAAATGTTTGGTTGAAATGTTTCACCCAACAAGGGAAGTTAGGGGTTCCAAACAACCAAAGGCTACGAAAGAGTCTGAAATGACAACGAATTTATGAATGACGGTCGACAAATGGAGACATAAAGGCCACACCCAGCAGGCAGGTTGCATTTGGGCCTTGAAAAAAGTATTAATTTTATCAGTTCGACGAAACAGACATTCCGCTCAGAATTGGATTTACATGCAAACCCCCGGCCTCAAAAAAATTACGTCCGTTTTTCTATTCATCATAAAATTGAGAATGGAATCATGTTTATTTAATGCTAAATAATTCTGTTGGAAATTTTTGTTTTTTATAGCAAAAAAGTGGACAAGATTATTGTTTTTAATCCAGATACGGCCAGAAGGCAAAAATCAGGGTCAGAATTTTTTATCTCAAATATCTGAGACTGCCCCCTCAAATCAAATGGTCCGTACCTTAGACTTTAAATCTATCTAGAGCTTATTGACTGGGGATCATTATTCAGCTATGTTAATAGGCTGGGGCGTGTGGGGTTAAACATGTTTTCGTAGGTAAATAATATTGCTGTGGAACTTTTTTTTCACGAGAGTGTAATAGAGTATTACTTTCTGTTTGGTGGAATTGTGAAATAGAAGTCAATAAATACGTTCTTGCTCAATCCTTTGTCGCTTTGAAGGTGTCATGCTTGTCATTCTCAGCCTAAGCAATGTGTTACTTTAATTTGAATTTCAAAATGACTGAGTGACGTTTTTTCGACGCACTGGTCAACTCCACCGTAGCGAATCACATGATTTTGACATAATCAATAATATATTACAGTAAATACGAGCGAAACATATCTTTATAAGTAAAGAATTGTCGCATAAAATTAAATACGCGGGAAATGGCAAAGTTCACGAAGTCTAGTCTAATCATTTTACAAAAAAAAAAAAAAAAAAAAATGTGCAAGCAAAGGGGGGGGGCGTACGCCCTCTACGCCCCCCTCTGGATCCGCCACTGCGGCATTCGGACTTGGTGTGTCAGTGTTAGATCGTCCCGATGGCCGGAGGCCAGAGGGTGATTTAACACTGACATACCGCGTCCTCATGGGATAAATATTACGGAAAGGTGAGTATGTTGTTAGTTGTTTGCCCACTGCAAGTGTCACGCAATTTGATTAATACTCCGTAAAAGTACTTACATTGAACAGAGACATGCACTGTGACCCAGGCAAAACGCACACAGAAAAGTCGTCTGGTATGCAGCAACGATTTACATTTTTGCAATAAGTCGCTGAGGTTAATTCATTTAATAACAAGTTTAAATGTTCCGTTTTAATTTCGTCAGAAATATAGATTTTAGTAAAAAATAATATAATATACACAATGAACTGCTAAAATGCCAAACTACAGTTATTAGATCTTTGAATAATGTTTTATCGATATAAATATTGATTTTGTTATCAATAAATTAAAACCCAACTTAATATTATTGTTATACACATATTCGCTGTCCTGCAATCTGTCGATACCTTTATTTTGGCATTGCACAAGGTAATGTTTTTTTCCCTGACTGTTAATGACGTCTTTACACTAAATCTATTGGAAGTTGGGTGTGTACTGATTGATATTTTAGTCTTATCCTTTGTTTTTCTATTAGATGCATGATTTTTTTAATAGTTGTTATGGCTTTAAGCCTGCTTTCAGTAACTGCGAGTACTCTTAGATCTGTACTTTGAATCGTTTGTGGGTTTTTTTTGTGGTTGATTTTGTGCTGTTTATGGATATGATGAGTTATGCCCTTTTCAAATGATTTTTATATTTTGTTCTTATGTTGTGCTGTAACTGCTGTTACACCACTGTCCCAGGTTAGGAGAGGGTTGGTTCGCCCGCAAACATGTTCAACCCCGCTAAATTCTGTATATGCCTGTCCCAAGTCAGAAGCCTGCAATTCAGATTTCTCGTTTGAATTGTTTTACATTTGTCATTTCGGGGCTTTTTATAGCTTGCGATATGGGTTTTGCTAATAGTGACATATAGTTGTTAACCTTCTACTTTATTTGTTCTCTGTTGGACAGCTGTCACGTTGGATATCATGCCACATTTTCTTATTGTATATTATATTTATTCATTGTGACAAAAAGCCATATCGCTTGGTGAGTGAGGGTTCAAAACGAAACTTAAAATCAATTGATAAAAATCGCTATGAATTTATAAAAGTATATATTTGAGTTGAGCAAATCATTACATCATGTGAAACACATATAGGGAAAACATATATTTCTTTTGAAATATTTGCTACTGGACGCTTAGCATTCATCCAGTAACAGACTCAAATTATCTGGTGTTAAACTCATTCAGCAATGCAGATCAATATTTAGTGTTGTGTTATTGAAAAAAAGGAAATGATTGTTAAATACATGCATGGTTGAGTTTACACATGCTTAAGAAAAATAAAACAATCAAAACTGCCCTAATGTCAATATATGGAGACAATGGAAGAATTTCAGAAATGCAGCATGGACTAAAAAAATATCATAACAGGAAATCGGAAATTCAGTTTACAGAGTAATTATTCTTCCAATTTAAAAACCTATTACACCATTGAATGAAGAATGCCTTAAACACCGGCATACAGCGGCACTGCGAGGTCACATAACGTGAAGAAAAGAAGCGCAGAATTGATCTTATATATGGCTAAGTTTAAAATTACCTGACATTTCTCTGTACGTCCTCGTAGTTAAATGCATGAAAGTAGAACATATCAATACCAAACTTCCTAGGAATACAAACAAATTCTTTTTGGTGTACATTTCTGAAATATATACGTTTTATCTTTTCAAATGAAACAGTATTCATCGGTTTACATTTAATTCACGTTAAAAATGGCAACACGTGTATCAAATCTCACCCAATTTACACGATAGCATGCTCCCAATATTATAGGCTGTTAGTGTGTACGGCCGATTAAATGTTGTACTATGGTGAATACGCAAATATCACGCAATTTTGTTTTGTGAAGTGTAAGTATTGCAAATTATTTAAAACTTTGTTAGGTTAACTACTCGGCTGTACAAATTAAATATATACGCAGTACTAAACACAAGCATCTTTAAGTTAAGAAAAGGTTTCAGCACTTTTGTACGAACCAGAGGCTTTAATTAAGGAGCATGCCAAGGTCAATTGAGTGCAACAGCTAAAGTCATATTTATGAAGCTATAAATCATTATGTTTTGAGACATATCCTTTAAGTTAATGAAATATATACACGGGTGAGACAAAGTACATGTTCGTCTCCCTTCGATTTTGAACATTGAACGTTGATCGGGTCAGAAAAAGAATCCAAACACTCCCGAGAATGCATGACTATATATATAAGGAGTCTAAGATGCCTCTGGAAAGATCTGGACCAGTCAAGCCTCGTCAAAGATTATAAATCTTACCCGTGGGTGTCTGAGATTTCTAGTGTCGCCTAAAAGGTCAAAACATGTAGATTTCACTTCACTAGAATTGTGTCCCCCATTTATTTTTTATAACCAAGAAAAGTCACACATTGAAAGATGAAACGCTGTTCTGAAAGCCCCTGGAAATCGTTAGTTTTATTTACAATTAGCCTGCACAAATTCCACCGGAATAAATGCTACCTTACTCGGGCATATTACATTGAAACCAAAACAACCAGTTTTTCCTCTTATGTATGTCATTCTTTGAAAGATACAAGTTTAGCAGATTCAAACATATTTGCATCTACTAAAGTTAGAAATCCCTGAATAATAGAAACATGATTATCTATAAATAGTATTAGCTTTAAGTGGTGTTGGAATAAGTAAAATAACATTATTGTGGATCATTTATTTTCATGAATGGAGGAAAACTTGTCTTTTCGTGAATATTTTGTTCGTGGCTTTGTCATGCATTCAATTTTTTAGAAAATGGATACTTCGTGGAACATTTAAATTCGTGGTTTACCTACTACCACGAAATCCACATGAGAACTGGTATCCTACGAATAATTGTGAACCACAGTATCTTTAATAATAGAGAGCTACACTTCTACTGTTTGATTTCAATGGACACCAAACTTTCCGAGAAACTCCAAAATACTGCCTATTCTAAGAACAATATAACTTGTGCGTATGTTAACTTAATTGACATACATATGTTTCGCATTCCATACATGATTATGTTTATAACAATGAAAACACGATTATTATGCTAATATTATCAAATTTATATCGAAATTCGTGAGAAAATCGTTTTTTAATGTTAATAGTCATATTTATGTTATTATACCAAGTGTATGTAGCGCCTCCTAACTGTAATAAACAACTAGTATAAAACGGGATAAAGTTTTATCATATCAAGTAAAGACACGGCTGACATTCGGTATATCGAGAGAAATGATCGTGAAAGAATAAGTAACGGTTGCCAAGAATTGCGATTGGATCGTGAAGGAAATCTTATCGAGAAGACACATGCAACGTCAGTAAATAATCTAATTTAATGAATAATAATGACACATCTTAAAAAAAAACTGTCTGTCAAAATGGTTCAACATTATGATAAGTATCCGAGAAAATCAAGGTTTAAAAGTATACCAAAAGACATGCTCCTCGAAATTTCAAAGAAATAAAAATGTAAACAAACATGACGTTTTCCTATTTTGAATGCATAAATTACTTTTCTATTAAAAAATATCGTTCCATATTACTGTTTAAAATGGTTCTTACAGTTATTTAGTTTTAGTTCAATCAAAAACTTTGCAAAAATGGAATTATTTGTAAAAAATTGATATTTCGGATCGTGAAAGATCGGGTACGGCATTTTGATGATCGTGAAAAGGATTATGAAAGATCTGTTGTCGCTTATTCGTTATTGCAAAAATCCAATAAGATCAAATCATTTTTAAACACATGATTATATATATTTGTAATTATTATGAAAATGATGGGTTCAACCTGGTTTTCTACCTAGCTAAAATGCCCACTTGTATAACAGTTTTATTAATGTTCCATAATATTGCCAAATCGGATGAGCAACCCAAACAGACATAATTGGTTAACGTGTCCATGACTGGGATCCAGCAGCCAAAACCGTGTAAACATACATAGCAGACATACAACACAACTGAATTAATCACTCAAACATACTTACAATTAAATCAAAGAAGTTTTTGTAGTTGATAATACAGTCAGTATAGTAAAGCATAATGGCATATACACTTTCCCGATAAAATACAAAATAAGTAAAATACAAGGGTATAAAAAATGAAAACAGTACTATAAAAGCCTCAAGTGTCCGAATCGCATCTCTGGTTCCATCAGTACAAGGAACGTCAAAAGTCAAAAACCTGAAAGCTGGACGCACATATACCGAACCACGTCAAGAGTCATACGACTAAATGGAACATGATAGTACAAAGACAAATAAAGGTAAAACTGTAAAGTAGATAAACTTCGACAAAGAGTCAGCACCTAGAATCTATAACCCAAGACCATCATGCATTATCTATAAAGAAGACCCTGGATATTTATCTATTAGGTCTTGGTACTTTCCAATGAATTTTTTGAGAACAAGGACGAGATGTTCTTTCATAAAACCCTGGCTCGTTGATTTTCTACTCGAACACTGATGACGTTTTACAAATCCTGAGTAGCAGCTGCAAGCTCCTGATTATCGTATGAGTTGAGAAATGTATACTCCATACGCGGACAATCAGGAAATGTAGGACCTTCAGTCATTCGACTTCAGAAAGTGTCTCCATTTTAATGGCAGTATTGTAAACTAGTGACGAGGACGACGGTCGTTGATATCTGTAACTCTCTCCATGTTAATGCCATTGTTGTAAACTAGTGACGAGAACGACGGTCGTTGATATCTGTGACTGTCTCCATGTTAATGACATTGTTGTAAACTAGGGACGAGAACGACGGTCGTTGATATCTGTGACTGTCTCCATGTTAATGACAGTGTTGTAAACTAGTGGCGAGAACAACGGTCGTTGATATCTGTGACTGTCTCATGCATGTTAATGACAGTGTTGTAAACTAGTGACGAGAACAACGGTCGTTGATATCTTTAACTGTCACCATGTTAATGACATTGTTGTAAACTAGGGACGAGAACGACGGTCGTTGATATCTTTAACTGTCACCATGTTAGTGACATTGTTGTAAACTAGGGACGAGAACGACGGTCGTTGATATCTGTGACTGTCTCCATGTTAATGACATTGTTGTAAACTAGTGACGAGAACAACGGTCGTTGATATCTGTGACTGTCTCCATGTTAATGACATTGTTGTAAACTAGTGACGAGAACGACGGTCGTTGATATCTGTGACTGTCTCCATGTTAATGACATTGTTGTAAACTAGTGACGAGAACAACGGTCGTTGATATCTGTGACTGTCTCCATGTTAATGACATTGTTGTAAACTAGTGACGAGAACAACGGTCGTTGATATCTTTAACTGTCACCATGTTAATGACATTGTTGTAAACTAGGGACGAGAACGACGGTCGTTGATATCTGTAACTGTCTCCATGTTAATGACATTGTTGTAAACTAGGGACGAGAACGACGGTCGTTGATATCTGTGACTGTCTCCATGTTAATGACATTGTTGTAAACTAGGGACGAGAACGACGGTCGTTGATATCTGTGACTGTCTCCATGTTAATGACATTGTTGTAAACTAGGGACGAGAACGACGGTCGTTGATATCTGTGACTGTCTCCATGTTAATGACATTGTTGTAAACTAGGGACGAGAACGACGGTCGTTGATATCTGTGACTGTCTCCATGTTAATGACATTGTTGTAAACTAGGGACGAGAACGACGGTCGTTGATATCTGTGACTGTCTCCATGTTAATGACATTGTTGTAAACTAGTGACGAGAACGACGGTCGTTGATATCTGTGACTGTCTCCATGTTAATGACATTGTTGTAAACTAGGGACGAGAACGACGGTCGTTGATATCTGTGACTGTCTCCATGTTAATGACATTGTTGTAAACTAGGGACGAGAACGACGGTCGTTGATATCTGTAACTGTCTCCATGTTAATGACATTGTTGTAAACTAGGGACGAGAACGACGGTCGTTGATATCTTTAACTGTCTCTAAAAATCGACCAGCCATTGAGTGTTTCTGTTGTATGTATTCACAACGTTTACAGACACGGAACGACTAAGTGCTTTTAATTTATTGTATAGACACCTGTCTATTGTTAAAGTCTGTACATATAAATATGTTGCCCTCTAGATGTCTTGGTTATTTTTAACGTTTGGTTGCTGACTCATTCACGAACGTATTCAGATCTTCTTTTATTCATAAGAACACAAATTATGCAGGTTATTTACTGATTCGAACGGCCTGAATCGCTCACCTGGAAAAGCTGACTTTACGGTATGGGTTTTTCTCATTGTTGAAAGCCGTATGGTCACCTATAATTGCTAATAGAAATAGAAAATATCATCACTCAAGGGCAATTACTCCTATAAGGAGTTGACTGACGAATTCGGCTATGTTGATATATTTATAGTTCTTGGTCTAGCTGATCATATTTTGCTACTTCAGATTGATCTCTATCTATTGTAGTGTTGAAGATTATAGCTAAAAACGAAAAAATGCACAAATATTGTAATATATTGGCACCAATTATATGAGATTATATAGAAAATAGTTTGGTATATTTGTCTAGTCCATGAGGTAATCTAGAAGATGGTTTGTATGTCTAGTTTATGATGTACTAAAGAAAATGGCTTATATAGAAAATAAGTAAATGTGGTTTGATTGCCGATGAGACAACTATCCAGCAGAGACCAAATGACGTAGATGTAAGAATCTATAATGTCTTCAACGATGAGAAAAAATCCATTCTGTATAGAAAGCTATAAAATGCACTGACATGACAACAAGTAAACTAACGGCCTGATTCAAGTACATAACAATAAACAAAAACAAATATGTCAAACAGAGACCAAAGACAACCACTGAATTACAGAATAGGCACATATAGAAATTGGTAGGGTTATACTATATGGTTTATAGGTCTGCATGGTCCATGAGCTAAATCAAATGTAGAGATTATTAATATATCTGGTCCATGAGCTAATGTAGAGGTTAATATGCATGGATGGCTTATATCTTTGATCAATGAGCTAATATAGAAGACGGTTTATATGTCTGGTCCATGAGCTAATAAAGAAGATGGTTTATATTTCTTGTCCATGGGGTAATATAGAAGATGGTTAATATGTCTGGTCCGTGAGGTAATAAACAAGATGGTTTATATGTCTGGTCCATGAGGTAATATAGAAGATGGTTTATATGTCTGTCCATGAGGTAATATAAGAATGGTTAATATGTCTGGTCCGTGAGGTAATAAACAAGATCGTTTATATGTCTGGTCCATGAGATAATATAGAAGATGGTTTATATGTCAGTCCATGAGGTAATATAGAAGATGGTTTATATGTCAGTCCATGAGGTAACATAGAAGACGGTTTATATGTCTGGTCAATAAGGTAATATAGATGATTGATTTGTCGCGTCCGGGAGTTAATGTATTGATGGTTTATATGTTTGGTCAATGAGGTAATGTAGAAGATGGTCTATATGTTTGGTCAATGAGGTAATGTAGAAGATGGTCTATATGTCTGGTCAATGAGGTAATGTAGAAGATGGTTTATATGTTTGGTCAATGAGGTAATGTAGAAGATGGTCTATATGTTTGGTCAATGAGGTAATGTAGAAGATGGTCTATATGTTTGGTCAATGAGGTAATGTAGAAGATGGTCTATATGTCTGGTCAATGAGGTAATGTAGAAGATGGTCTATATGTTTGGTCAATGAGGTAATGTAGAAGATGGTCTATATGTCTGGTCAATGAGGTAATGTAGAAGATGGTCTATATGTTTGGTCAATGAGGTAATGTAGAAGATGGTCTATATGTCTGGTCAATGAGGTAATGTAGAAGATGGTCTATATGTCTGGTCAATGAGGTAATGTAGAAGATGGTCTATATGTTTGGTCAATGAGGTAACATAGAAGATGGTTTATATATCTTGTCAATAAGGTAATATAGAAGATTAATTTGTCTCGTCCGGGGGTTAATGTATTGATGGTTTATATGTCTGGTCAATGAGGTAATGTAGAAGATGGTCTATATGTCTCGTCTATGAGCTAATGTAGGGATGTTTTTTTAAGTTTGGTCCATGAGCTAATGCAGAGATGTTTTTAAAGTTTGATCCATGGTCTAATGTAGAGATGGTTTATATTTCTGGCCCATGAGGTAATATAGAAGATGGCTTATATATCTGGTCAATAAGGTAATATAGATGATTGATTTGTCTCGTCCGGGAGTTAATGTATTGATGGTTTATATGTTTGGTCAATGAGGTAATGTAGAAGATGGTTTATATGTCTGGTTCGTGAGGTAATATTGAAGATGGTTTATATGTCTGGTTCGTGAGGTAATATTGAAGATGGTTTATATGTCTGGTTCGTGAGGTAATATTGAAGATTGATTTTATGTTTGGTCCGTGAGGTTATATATAAGATGGTTTATATGTCTGATCCGTGAGGTAATATATAAAATGGATTATATGTCTGATCTGTGATGTCATATGGTTTATGGCCCATTAGCTAATGTAGAGATGGTTTATATGTCTTGTCCGTGAGGTCATATAGAAGATGTTTTATATGTCTGGTCCATGAGGTAGTATAGAAGATGGTTCATATGTCTGGTCCATGAGGAAATATAGTAGATGGTTTATGTCTGGTCCATGAGATAATTAAATATAGAAGATGGTTGATATGTCTGATCCGTGAGGTAATATAGAAGATGGTTTATAAGTCTTGTCCGTGAGGTAGTATTGAAGAAGATGGTTTATATGTCTGATTCATGAGGTAATATAGAAGATGGTTTATATGTCTGTCCATGAGGTAATTTAGACGATGGTTAATATGTCTGGTCCATGAGGTAATATAGAAGAAGGTTTATATGTCTGGTCCGTGAGGTAACATAGAAAATGGTTAATATGACTGGTCCATGAGGTAGAATAGAAGATAGTTTATATATTTGGTCCATGAGCTTATATAGAAGGTTTATATGTCTGGTCCATGAGGTAATATAGAAGATGGTTTACATGTTTGGTTCACGAGGTAATGTCAAAGATGATTAATATGTCTGGTCTGTGATGTAATAAACAAGATGGTTAATATGTTTCGTCCGTGAGGTAAAGCAGAGATGACTTATTATCATATATGTCTGGACCGTGTGGTAATATAGTAGATGGTTTATATGTCTGATCCGTGAGGTAATGTAGAAGATGGTTTATATGTCTTGTCCGTGAGGTAGTTTTGAAGAAGATGGTTTATATGTCTGGTCCGTGACGTAATATAGTAGATGGTTTATATGTTCTGTCCGTGAGGTAATATGGAAGATGATTTATATGTCTGGTCCATGCGTTAATATAGAAGATGGTGTATATTTCTAGTCCGTGAGGTAATATAGAAAATGGTGTATATGTCTGGTCCGTGAGGTCATATAGAAGATGGTTTATATGTCTGGTACATGAGGTAGTATAGAATATGGTTTATATGTCTGGTTCTTGAGGTAATATAGAAGATGGTTTATATGTCTGGTCCATACGTTAATATAGAAGATGGTGTATATTTCTAGTCCGTGAGGTAATATAGAAAATGGTGTATATGTCTGGTCCGTGAGGTCATATAGAAGATGGTTTATATGTCTGGTACATGAGGTAGTATAGAATATGGTTTATATGTCTGGTTCTTGAGGTAATATAGAATATGGTTTATATGTCTGGTTCTTGAGGTAATATAGTAGATGGTTTATATGTCTGGTCCATGAGGTAATAAACAAGATGGTTTATATGTCTGGTCCATGAGGTAATATAGAAGATGGTTTATATGTCTGGTCCATGAGGTAATATAGAAGATGGTTTATATGTCTGGTCCGTGAGGTCATATAGAAGATGGTTTATATGTCTGATCAATGAGGTAATATAGAAGATGGTTCTTATGTCTAATGAAACAAAATGATAAAATGGCCAAAAATTATTAGACATAAGTAAAACCAGAGACATATAATACAATACAATATTATCAATAATAATATTATATTATATGTCTCTGGTAAGTAAAACGTATAGTTTTCGTTGTTGCTAAATGTCTGTTTGCAAGTGGGCCTTTTACATGCATAGCTTCAAACTCTGAACCAGTACATCCCGTTATCTTCTGCATATTTCTCTTGTTGTAAATAGCCATATAAAATCTCCGTTACCCCCTCCAAGCAACTATAGATTAATATTCAAAAATATAATCACTTACTCGTTATAGAAAGCGGTAAATCCAATTTACATCTAATTAAGAAATAAAAACTTGCAAATAATAAATATGTGAATAAATACCGAGGAGATTTTCATGTCTAACTGAACAGATGAAGTGATTTTATTGCAATACCTCCTCATTATTCATATATAATTGATATAGAAGTAAATATTGATCACGTATGTGTCAAATCCTATTTCCTTTTGCTTAGCTGCACACATCAACTGGGAACTCGATCAAATGGTTTGTTTTAACACAAATAAACGTAATTTTGTTCATTGACTAACACAGGTTGTTGCAAGTTTTCTAGGTCAATAGAACTTTTTGAGATACGATTCAACAGTCACTTTAATAATCGTAAATTACAACAACAAAAAACAATGATCATATAGAAAATAAAAGGTCCAAAATAAAACAGCCTAAAAATCGAACAGTAGACAACTGTAATGTCCAGAATGGCAGATTTAAAGCTCCAGGAGTCGGTTTCACACAAAAAAACTTACGACTAAGACTGATCGTAAGTTATGAACAATTACGTATACTTACGATCAATCGTAGTCGTAAGTTTTTTTGTGAAACCGACACGTCTCTCAATCTTAATCTATAACGTGATAAACTAGATCATAATAGGATATGGATATTATTTTAAAAGACATCGAAGTGGTCGAACTAACTGGTAGAAAGTTTGATAGAATTGCGTGTATAAATTCAACCATATTTTAATATTGGCAGCATGGTGGTGAAACATAACAATTAACAACAAATTGCATTTACATGTAGTTGCATTTCTACAATTATAAGGCAAGCAATTCATCGGTTGATAAAATCAGCTGAATGTATGTCAATGTCAGTAAATCACATTTATCACAAAACATTTAGTTTTTCAAATTGGAATTTGATATTTTATCCAATCGTGTTCACAGTTTAAGTTTTAATAAAAGTAAACATTTTTATAATGGAATAAATTAACAAATAAAAATTCTTCTTGAAAAGCGAGGTTAACATTTACCCTGTAGTTCCTGGATAACACATGTATGTTCCCCATATTTAGATAGTTGGTAAGATAAATTCGTTACACAGTGTGCTAGTGACCTAATACGTAATATACGGGGTCAGTAAATTTGTAAAAATGGGTATCGATTTCGATTGCTCTCGCCCCATATGGAATGTACCGATATGTACTGTTTATGATTATCTGAAATATATAGGGCTGCATGATTTAATATTACATATTAGCTGATTGTGTATTTTGAGCCAGTTTTCAGTTAGTGGGAGCATTGTTGATACAGTATATTTCTTTTCTATGATACTTTAAAATAGTTCAGTACTTATTCTGTACTGAGTTTAGTTGTATGTTGTTTTATGTACCAGTTGTTATCCACTGATCAGTATTCAATAAGGGGAGGGTTTTTGTTATTTGAAGAATTTTGTGTTGATGATTTATCATTGTTAGTCTATGTTACAGGTGTAACAATATGCTAAAAACATTTTTCATATGTTTTGCAATTCAGTGAATATTCGATCATTCTGCAGAAAGTGTCATGAAGAAATATTTTCTCCATGTCCATCATCTTAAAGTTTACATCATTTGCCCAAGGGGCATTTTCTGTCCAAAGAAGATAAAACTAGAGACTCTAAAGAGCCTATGTCGCTCACCTGCATCTTCAACAATGGCCAATTTTTAGTAAAATCAATATTAAAGTGGAATAAAGCTATTAAGAGTTAACTGACAATTTCAGTCATGTTAACATATTTGTAGATCTTATCTGGCTGATCATTTTCTCTTTAGCTCACCTGGCTGGAAGGGACAGTGTGAGCTTTTGCCATCACTTGGCGTCTGTCATCTCCTCTGAAACTACTGGCCCAAATTTAACCAAACTTGGCCACAATCATCAGTGGGTATCAAGTTTAAAAAATGCATCCCATGTCACTGCCTGCCAAGACATGGACGAGGTGGTGAAATAGAACATAGGAGTAAAATGCAATATTTGTCTAATATCTTAAAAACCACTACAGATAGAGAAAACCTGACAGGGCCTAAATACTCAGAATTCTTAGACCTACATAATACCTGTTGACATCAAAACTGTCATTCTCTATCTATAATGGTTTTCAAGAGAATAGACAAAAATTACATTTTACCCCTATGTTCTATTTTTTGCCATTTTCACCATGTTTGTTGACAGGCTGGGTCAACAGACACATTTTTTAAAATAGATACTCCTTTGTTGATTGTGGCCAAGTTTGGTTAAATCTAACCTAGTAGTTTCAGAAGAGATGATCTTTGTAAAAGTTAACAGATGTCGAGGACAACAGATAACGACAAACGATGAATACGATGTCGGTTAAAAGCTCATTAGAGCTTATGTTATGTCCTTATTTGTATACTATGCCGACTCTAAATAAAGCTTATTTATTATTTATAGAATAACTAATCGAAGAATTCAAATAGAGAAAAATATTCAACGAGTGACCGAACAACACATTAATTCACGAATGCGCGTAGCGCATGAGTTAATTATCAGTGTTGTTTGGTCACGAGTTGAATATTTTTCGATATTTGAATTCTTTGATTAGTTATTCTTTTTATTACATTGGCAAGTGGCTTTTTTTAATGAAATTAATGTAGAAAATGTAAGGAACTATATCTTTTTTCTACGCATTCACAATTTGTTTTGATCCGACATTATCGACGTCTTGACAACGCCTATTGTTGTATGACGTCAGAGAGTGAAATAACCACGTTTATTTCACATGTGAAATTATCGGTTTTTATTTGACTGGGAAATCAATGTTATTCAATGCTACCAATGTAATATTATTATTCATTTTTATCATTATAATACCAAATGATGGCAAAAGCTCACAATGGCAATTCGGGCCAGGTGGCCTAAAAAGGGGGAACAGAATTTCTTTGAACTAATTTCACATGTATTCGATGAAAAAAAAACTTCAAAAAATGAGAGCAGTGTCTATTGGTGTGAAAACTAATTTTAATATCATTCACATAGTAAGAGTCTTCTTTGTACTGTAAATTGACCTGTGAAGAATTATCGGGATTTCTGTGTTTCAGTGAATGATTACCCTCTAGTCTATATTACATTTATTTACAGCTGTTTTTAATTCAAGACAATTTAGAGCTTGACATATTGTTAAGACACCTGTTTATTTGTTTGTCTGTTCACCACTAGATGTCTTTTGGCTATGTGAGTAATTTGGTGTCTTATTGATAATCACATCACAATTTCTTATTTTTTATTAAGCTGTCTACTGACCAATTAACCTTTGTTAGTAACTGATGACAGAGTGTATAATAAGGTTAAGGTCTTGTTTCACAGTTATCACTCCTCATGTCACTTTAATGCTGTAAAAAAAGGCATGAATAGGGGAAAATATTCTAGTCTTAGATTGTCTAAATTTTGTTTTATATTTAATCACACAAAATATTGAAATATTCAGCAAGGTCCTTTAAATGAAATTATATATAGACATGTATTTAATAAATTTGTGTTACAGAGATATGTCTCGACTTAATGTGATTTTGATAGTGTAATGCAAGTGATGAAATTAAAACAGTAAACCTTCTAAATTTACCTAACATTTCAAAGTCAATGTACCATGACTGAGTGAGGGCCAGGACCAAATAATCTTAATGGAACTGAGATGTCCAATGCTTATACAACTGCATACCAAATATCATTGACTTACTGTAAGTGCCCTTGTAAAAACTGACCTACCGGTAATCAAAAATGTTAACATGTTAACTATGCAAGTTTCAAAGTCAATGGGGACCATTGCCAAATAATCTGAGCGAAACTGAGATGTGCCAATGCTAATACTACAGAATGCCAAATATCATTAACTTACCCTTAATGGTTCCCTTAACACTAACCTAATCATGTAAACTTTGCAAAAGTTTCAAAGTAATGGTTGTGCTTATATTATTGATATATTTTGAAACCCTGCAATGTTATCAGTTGTTTAGCCTCAGAAATGACTACCTTTCAAAATAAGCATCTAAATCACAATTTGACCTTAGTAACCCATTATATTTTTGATCAGCACCAAATGTGGAATGCTTTACTGTGTTCCCAACTTTATTCAAGTAAGCTAATGAAGATTATGAATGTTATAAAACATTTAAAGCCATCATTTTAACTTAATTTCCTGTAACTTTTCCTTGGTTGTTGGACAGATTGCTGAATAAAATTAACAATTTTTATACTTTTATTTTTTTCTTTTGCTTGCAAAGCCTTTGAGATCAGCTCTTTTAACAAACTGTACTCCATCTTTAAACTTTCCAACCTGTCCATCCACATAACCACCCACATCATTCCTGTCTTTTTGTCTACAAATAAAAAAAATACACGGTTAAGTACATTTTATCAGTATGAATGGTGACAGATAGATTCCACCAGTGCATTGAAGGAGATGTCATATTTCTCCATTTGAGACAGTTTTATTTTAAAATTCAACTGTTATGAAAATGAGGATGAAAATAACACTTCATAAATCAGGTTTGTCCAAATTACTTTTCTGATTTTATCTTCATTGTATAATTTAAACGACATTCTATTATGTTAAGGACAAAGAATGGGCATCTTTAAACTTGCTCTTTTAGTGATCTTGAAAAAAATGTGTTCTTTATGTGAAGCATCATCAAATACAGGTACCTTGATGTCATGATAGATAAACTAGAGGCTCTAAAAGAGGTTATGCTGCTCACCTTGACTCATGTGCATTTTTTTTACATTGAAGACTAGAATATAATTCACAACTAAGATAAGTTTTTTGTTCTTTTTATTTTCTAATTTATTGCTGATCATTTTAATGTTTTCAGTTTCTCTCTATCTACTATAGTTTTTGCCCAAAATACAAAAAAAGGGTAAAAATTGTCATTCAAGGGAAATAACGTCTTTAAAAAGTGGATTTCAAATTTCAAATGTTGACCTATTTGTACATCTTGTTTTGATAATTTTTGCTGTATACAGATTTTCTTTATCTTCCAAAATTTTTGCCAAACACATTAAAAAATGATAAAAAAAATTGTCATTGAAATATAAACTCCTATAGGTGTCATTGAATAGAAGTTCCTTCATAATATAAGTTCCAAATGGAAACAATATTCTGGAATATTATTTCCACTGGAATAAATATTACAGTAAATGTTCCTAACGGAATAAATGGTATAGAATATTTGTTCCAACAGGAACAGATATTATGACATTGTTTATAACAAAGTTTCCAGTGGAACTTCTGTTAGGCGGAACAAATATACGTTGACATAGGGAGTCAACTGACAATATTGGCAATGTTGACTTGTTTGTACATCTTGTCTTGCTCATAATTATTCCTATTTACAGTTTTTCTTTATCTACTAGTGTAAAAAAAATCTCATTACAGGGAAATAACTCCTATAAGGAGTTGTTTGACAATTTCGACTATGTTGATATTTCTGCAGACCATTTTTCGATGTTTAAATTTTTTCTTTTATCTTTGTTGTTGACAAAAATGCCAAAAACAGATAAAAATCATCCTTTGGGACAATAACTAAATTAAAATGTGGGTTTCAAATCTTAGCTTTTTTGACCTATTTGTAGATCTTGTCTTGATAATTTTGCTGTTTACAGGTTTTTATTATCTACTATACTTTTGGCCAAAAATGACAAAAATTGATAAAAATACACCATATAGGGCAAATTATTCTTATAAGGAGTTGAACCACTATTTCTGCCATGTTTACTTATTTGTAGACCTTGTTTTTCTGATATTTTTTTATGTTTAAAGTTTCTCTCTATTTATTATGGTTTTCAAGATAAAAGGCAAAAAAAAATTGTAGAATAAAAATATAATTCATGACTAAAATCTCTATTTTGTTGAATTTGTTTTCTGATCATTTTTTTGTTTAGTTTCACTCTATACTATAGTTTTGCCAAAAACATAAAAATGGGTAAAAATCATCATTCAAAGACAGTAACTTCTATAAGAAATGGACTGAAAATTTTCTTTTTTGTTACTTATTTGTTGATTGGTCTTTCTGTTAATTCAGACTGTTACAGTATCTCTTTATCTTCTGTAGCTTTTGGCCAAAACACAAAAGAAAATAATTTGTCATTTAAGGGCAATAACTCCTACAAATGTATATGGGCTCCTATGACAATTTTGACTGTGACCTATTTGAAGATCTTGTCTTGCTCATTATTTTTGTTTTGAGGTAGATCTTGACAGTGTTAACATTTATGCTTTGTCTGATTTTTTCTAATTATAGCGGTTTTCAAGAATAACGTTTATAATCTATCAAAGTGTTTATGTTAAATACATTTTTGTTACTTTAAAATGATGTAACCTTTGCTTAAGATACACTGTAACCATACCTTCTTTTGCCTCTGTTTGGTGCCACTTTATACCCTAAGCTTCTATCCTGTAAGAAAATGATGTTTGAGTTCATTACACTAACTAATGATCATGAAAATGGCATTATTCAATACATAACAGTTTTCTTAAAAATAAATAAGTCTAAGAAATCTTAAATTTAGAAGCATAAAGGTAAAAGAAATGCAACATGTAAAATAAAAACAAAAAATAAGTATTCATTCAAAATGGGTTTCCCCTGTTCGTTTGATTTATCTGAACAAATCTAAAATCTAAAATTAAAATCAATCTTATAGACCAACTATTATAAAATTCCTTACCAACTTGAAAAGTAAGTCTAAGTAAAGAGGTGTTAACTTTTTTTACTTACTATTTCTCTCTGTATTTTCTCATTTGCCTTCTCAGTTTTTTTCATTGCAATGAACTCTTTATAATTGTAAAACTTGTTCTTTGGTGGCTGAAACACAAGAAATTAAGGTCCTGTAAAGTCTTTATAGAAGGTTTTCTCCAGTCAAAGTTTTTAACAAAAAATTGTGTCTTGAACATTCTACTGCCATTTAGTTAAAACATTTAAAAAAAGATGAAACATGGTTCATAAGTTTTGATGGCATACACTTTTTGAGCTGGCTATTCACCCAGCCATGATCTGCACTTGCTTTGTTCAGGCTTACTGACAATGGTAAATTTGGTGACCATTAGTGAACAGTTTTATGAGATTCTTGTATTGCCATTTTCTCATATTTTTATAAGAGTTGATTTTTAATGTGCATTTAAAAAAATACATAAAAAGTACGTTATTGTAGTTTAAAAAAAACACTAAAATATTTCCTGAAAATGTGTTACCCAATTGTTGCTTTATATTTTCCTGAAATTCTCAGATTGTCTGAGATCTCACAAAACATGTTTAACCCTGCCACATGTTTGTGCCTGTCCCAAGTCAGGAACCTCTTGCCTTTGTTAGTCTTGTATGTTTTTTAAAATTTTGGCTCATTTATATGTTTTGGAGTTTAGTGTGACGTCCATTTCACTGAACTAGTAAACATTATTGTTAAGGGGCCAGCTGAAGCCTGCCTCCGGGACGGGTGTGGGAATTTCTCGCTGTGTTGAAGACCCATTGGTGGCCTTTGGCTGATTTCTGCTCTTTGGTCTGGTTGTTGTTCCCCATTTCCATTTTCAATTTTATCCTTCCAGCATTTGGAAGAAAAGTTTAACTACCTCTTCTGCCATATCAAAATGCTATGAAAATGTAGGCAACAACTCTGACAAAATACAAATATTTGTCCTCTATTTAATTTGAAAAGAACAAAACAATCCTATGGAAACTCATCTGAATGGAAATTTTGTGTTCTCTTTTTCAAAATCTTTGTGTATGATAAGTTTCTATTACCCAAGTACCATGAAGTCGTCCTAAACAAAACTGATAACAATATGATATTGATGTTCAATGTCACATTAGAATCTAAGACACACAATAATCAGTTACTACAGTGAGGCAAATGCTTCTTCAATGGCTCAATTACGACTATTTTGGTATAACAAAATATTGTCACCCCTTAGATATTGAATGTCCACAATTGTCAACTCTAAAAAGTTATTCCAGCTTAGATTTCTTCCTTAACAACAAATCTATAACCATACAATACCTTTGCACCTAGTTGTACAAGGAGAGCCACCATTGCTTCATCTTTCTTATTTCCTTCAAAACCTTTTATACCAAATTTCCGAACTTCATATCTTGCTCTCTTCATGTCAAATTCTTCATCAGAGTTACCATCCTTCATTCCTGTACGTTTTCCAAATCCTTTATCATTCTAGAATCAAACATTTATATACAACTATAGTATATATCAATTGGAGACATGCTCTGAAAATATGTATTTGAAATACATTATCATTCTTCCAATTTATCCTCCTTTGAATAAACAATGTATGTATGCTTAGTTTGATTTAAATCTAATCAATATCGTTACATACAATAAGATCACTTGGAAAGTAGACGAAGAACGTAGGTTCAGCAGTATATCCCTTTCTTCTAAGCAAGGGTATAAATATGTACATAATATTTAAGAACTGTATACAATTTTATTGCATCCCAAAGCTTACAGCAAGAAAACTGGTGCTTACAAATATATTGTTAACAATCATCCAAGTATTTGAAGACTAAGCTTCAATAACTCTGGACTTACTACTGTATAATAAAATGCTTCGCTAGGGCGCAGCTTGATACGACCGCAGAGGTCGAACCCTGAACAGTTGGGGCAAGTATGGACACAACATTCAAGCTTGATACAGCTCTGAATTTGGATTGTTATTAAATATTTGACACAGCATAGGTTTCTGACACAGAAAGAATGTGGTCTAAGAACTTGAATTTTTTTAATTTACCTATTATGGTCCAATGTCCAAAATCAAAATACATGGTTAGATTCAGCATATCAAAGAACCCCATATATTCAATTTTTGTTAAAATCAAACAAAGTTTAATTTTGGACCCCAACTTGGACAAACTTGAAAACTGGGCCCATAATCAAAAATCTAAACACATGTTTAGATTCAGCATATCAAAGAACCCCAAGAATTCAATTTTTGCTAAAATCAAACTAAGTTTAATTTTGGACCCTTTGGACCTTAATGTAGACCAATTTAAAAAACAGGGACTTAAAAAATTAAAAATCTAGAATATACGGTTAGATTTGGAATATCAAAGAACCCTAATAATTCAATTTTTGATGAAATCAAAGAAAGTTTAATTTTGGACCCTTTTGACCTCAATATGAACCAATTTGATAGCGGGGCCCACAAATAAAAAATCTAAATTCATGGTTAGATTCAGCATATCAAAGAACCCCATATATTCAATTTTTGTTGAAATCAAAAAAAAAAATAATTTTGGACCCCAACTTGGACCAACTTGAAAACTGGGCCCATAACAAAAATCTAAACACATGTTTAGATTCAGCATATCAAAGAACCCCAAGAATTCAATTTTTGTTAAAATCAAACTAAGTTTCATTTTGGACCCTTTGGACCTCAATGAAGCCCAATTTAAAAAACAGGACCCAAATTAAAAATCTAAAAACACGGTTAGATTTGGCATATCAAAGAACCGCAATAATTCAATTTTTGATGAAATCAAACAAAGTTTAATTTTGGACCCTTTTGACCTCAATATGAACCAATTTGATAACGGGGTCCACAAATAAAAAATCTAAATACATGGTTAGATTCAGCATATCAAAGAACCTCAAATATTCAATTTTTGTTGAAATCAAAAAAAGTTTAATTTTGGACCCCAATTTGGACCAACTTGAAAACTGGGCCCATAATCAAAAATCTAAATACATGTTTAGATTCAGCATATCAAAGAACCCCATATATTCAATTTTTGTTGAAATCAAACAAAGTTTAAATACTGGACCCTATCTTGGACCAACTTGAAAACTGGGCCCATAATCAAAAATCTAAACACATGTTTAGATTCAGCATATCAAAGAACCCCAAGAATTCAATTTTTGTTAAAATCAAACTTAGTTTAATTTTGGACCCTTTGGACCTTAATGTAGACCAATTTAAAAAACAGGACCCAAAATTAAAAATCTAAATACACAGTTAGATTTGGCATATCAAAGAACCCCAATAATTCAATTTTAGATGAACTCAAACAAAGTTTAATTTTGGACCCTTTTGACCTCAATATGAACCAATTTGATAACGGGGTCCATAAATAAAAAATCTAAATACATGGTTAGATTCAGCATATCAAAGAACCCCATATATTCAATTTTTGTTGAAATCAAATAAAGTTTAATTTTGGACCCCAATTTGGACCAACTTGAAAACTGGGCCAAAAATCTAAATACATGTTTAGATTCAGCATATCAAAGAACCTCATATATTCAATTTTTGCTAAAATCAAACAAAGTTTAATTTTGGACCCTTTGGACCTTAATGTAGACCAATTTGAAAACTGGACCCAAAATTAAAAATCTAAATAACTGTTAGATTCGGCATAACAAATAAATAAATGTGATCAAAGATTTTACAAATCTAATGCGCCATACTGTGCAATTAAAGATTACTTCTTGAAATTTTTCAATATTTGAAATTTGAAAAAAAAAAAATATTTGAAGAATAATTCTTTTTAATTTCTGAAATCTGAAATAAGAAAAAATTGACCCCCCACAATTTCTTTTTATCCCCTCCCCCTTTTTTCCCCAAAAAAATTCTTTCCCTCAAGATATGGTCATAATCTCAATTCAAATTTCCAATGGAGTTGGCAACCATAATTACCCATTTAAATTTACCATAGTGCTAACTTAATCTATTTTATAATAGAATTAAAAATATAGTGTCAAATCTTTCATATGGATTTTTTTGTAAAAAAAAAAGATGCAACATTTGCAGATATTTTTACTGGTCTTCCTTTATAAATATGCATTTCTTTAAACATAATTTAAAAGCAGTGTAAGGGAAGTAACCAAAACGTTGTATTTGGATTACCTCCCTTACACTGTTTTAAATTATCTTTATTGTTCATTAACCATTACTTTATACATAATTTAAAAGCAGTGTAAGGGAGATAATTTCAATGATGAATTTGATTTATCTCCCTTACACTGCTTTAAATTATGTTTTGTACTAAAGTATTTGTCCATTAACCAGGACAACCTTGTTTTCCCCCTTTTTTGCCCCTAATTCCTAAACGGTTTGAGCCATAACCCCCCAAAGCAAATCCTAACAATCCCTTTGTGGTATGGAAACTTGTAGTATAATTTCAGAGAGATCCATACACTGTTCCACAGTTATTGTCTGGAAACTAGAAAATGCTTATTTTTTGCCCCTTTTTGGCCCCTAATTCCTTAACTGTTGGTACAATAACCCCCAAAATCAATCCCAACCTTCCTTTTGTGGTATTTAACCTTATGGTCAAATTTCAAAAAGATCCATTCACTTAAACTAAAGTTAGAGTGCGAAAACCAGTGTGTATTCGGACGACGACGCCGGACGACGACGACGACGACGCCAACGTCATACCAATATACGACCACAAAATTTTTTTGCGGTCGTATAAAAAAGGTGAAAAATGCAAATCTCGAAATGATGGTTGTCAACTATGAAACATTTTATGCATTTAAAAGCTTACTGCAGGAGAAAAGGAACACACAAAATATTATAGGGCTCCTACATTTAATGCTGGGCCCTTATAAGCATTTCAATATACCATACAACCAAAGAAAATTTTCAATTAGACCTAACAATTATTTGGGTTGTTTATCTATGGTATATGTATACATTGCCATATAAGCGGGAGGTTTGGCTAGCCATAAAACCAGGTTCAACCCACCATTTTTTCTTAAAATGTCCTATACCAAGTCAGGAAATGGCAGTTGTTATCAAATAGTCTGTTTCTATGTATGTTTTATCATGCATGTTCAGTCGAAGAGCTCAACAACTGAGTGATAAGTTTGAGTTACTTATACTTTGCAATCTTGTTTCAGTGTAAGTGTGAGCTTGAGTTACGTATACTTTGTAATCTTGTTTCAGTATAATATGTGTGCTCCACCAAAAAGCATACTATGACATGTATTGTAGGCAGTAGCAAAGTTTTATTCCTCCAGAAGAATATTTAAATATGTTTATTTAAATGAAATTGTAAAAAGCAATAGTTTTTATAAATTTCTCAGTATTTTTATGTTTTCTGATCTGACTCTGTTCGTCTGTCATTTTGTCCTTCCATTAGTCTATTTGTATGTCCCTTATTACAGATTAAAGTTTTGAGTCAAGGTAGTTTCCATGATGTTGTGGACACATCAACTTGAAAATAAGTACATATTTTCATTTTGATGTAAACTTTTAAAATGTACATGCCAAATTAGGGTTTTGCACAAGATATCGTGGTTCACTAAACATTGAAATGCGATAGTGCAAGCAGGACATGGTGTCTTATGGACACATGTTCTTGTTTCCTTTATTTTTCATAGGAAAAAAGGCAACTTAAATTTGTTGCAATGAAAAAGAATTCTTAAAAGTGAACAAATGAATATTTCCATTGTACTTTGATACATTAATTAATTCTATAACTGATTAACTGTAACCATAAAATTTTATTCAAAAACAAACAATTCAATTGCAACATTCTTTCAATACAAATCTGAGTTAAATTCTAAAGACATGATATAAATCTAATCAATATATATCATAATTTACCTTTCTTTTTCGTTTGCTGGGGTTTTCATACACAACAACCTCAGGACCTGTTGTAGGTTTCCCATTTTTACTTTTCTCTGAGGTTGTTTGTTTTATTGATTCTAACTTTTGCTCAAATTCTTGTAACCCAAGTTCATTTTTCATTTCAAAAAGAGTTCTTTTTTCTCCTGTAAATTTACATATATCTTCATTCTTATTATTTTCATTCATTCCTGCATTCTGTAAAAGTTCTTTCTTTTGTTTCTTCCTTTCCTTTTTCTTTTTCCGTCTGTTAAATTTACTGGTTGATGAATCTTTATCTACATTTGAATCATCCTCATCTTTTCTTTGTTTTTTCTTTCTCATTTGTTTCTTAGTGAAATTTTCATCAAGAAGGCTTTCATCTGGCAATTAAAAATACAAATTAACTTTTTACTATATATAGAACATGCTAAGAATCAAATGTGAGACATAAAAATGATTGGATCATATGCAAATAGTTTTACAAGATATCCATGATATTGAAAACAATGAAATATCTGAACTAATATTTCTATACACTATTGTAAAATCAGTAAATGTTTTAGAATAAAATATGAAATTTTCCTATTCACCAAAGATTCAAAATTATAAAAAAAGTCTATTCATGGTATGGTGACCTACAATTTACAACTTCTACATCATTTAGTCTCAGGTGGAGAGTTGACCAGTTGTCTCATTGGCAATCATACCACATCTTCTTATTTCTATGTTCAGGCATGTTAGGATACTATATATAAACATGACAAAATACTGCATAACAGTGAAAAAAAGAATTGAAGAATGTGTCTCATCATTGTTGTAAATTAAAAGTCACCCATACAGACATCTTGCTGGTGTCAGTTTCAGAGGAAATTTTGTTCAAATAACAAAGCCTTTTACAAAGAAAAAAATGTTCTTGGCTAAAACAAGATATCTGTATTTACGTTAGCCATTTTTATCCACGAAACAATGCTGTGTTTAGATGAGGAATATTTTTGTAAGGGTGGATGTTAAATGTTTGCATACTATTGCACAAGGAGAGGGACTTAAATTGTATGTACTCAAATAGATATCTGGAATAATTTTAGTATCTACATCAGATTCACTCAGCTCAAAAAGTGGGCAGTATTACAGTAACAACAAAGGCCAGTTTTGGTGGCTGATAAAAATGTTTTAGAATTTTACAGAACTAGCAATACCATGTTGTTTGTGAGGACACTAATGTTATTTTAGTTTCAATTAGAATGAATGATAATCTATCGAATTATTTATCTTTGGTTGAAATTTATTGAACATGTAACAGAATCATGACTGTAAAGTCTTGTTGTAGAACATGTATATAAGTTGGTTTTCTACATTTGTAAGTGAACACACAGTGTATACCTACATTTTTGTAATTCTGAAATCAATTAGTTTATATAATGTGATTTACACACAAAAGACATAATAGTTGGGGGCTTTGTCTGTTGTGTATTTGTCATGGAGGTAAGACAAGTGTTTAGCAACTTTTAAGGTTTTAAGATTGGTGAAGCATCTTGTTTATAGATTCCTCAAGTTTTTAAATCAATTGTGTTATCAACATTCTTTCTGTAATGTACTTCATTTGTACTTACTGTAATCATGTAACCTCTTCAGAAGACTGCATGTGACATTCTCATCATCCATTCTGGTTCACTTAAGCTTCATAAAATATTCACCTCTGTACAAGATAATTAAAACAAACTGATTGCAGAAAGATAATGAAATTTTCCTATCCGTAAAGTATTGTTAAATGCAATTGCAAGTACAAAGGAAAATAAATTAAAATAAATTGCTTCGCCGAGCGCAGCTGGATACGACTGCAGAGGTCCAACCCTGAACAGTTGGGGCAAAAATGGACACAATATTCGCACTTGATACAGGTCTGAATTTGGATTGTAATTCAATATTGACACATAATAGGTTTCTGACACATAATAACTGTAGTCAAAGAACTTAGAATTGGTTATATGATTTGAATTTATATTCAATTTTTTGCTTTTGTGCAATACACTATGCTGTTGCGAATTGACCCCCCCCTTTTTTTCCAAAAAATAGAAAATGACATCCATAATCATAGCTAAAATTAATTTACCTTAATCAGCATTTTTAAAATTATTAAAATAGTAACTTCTAAAAATGAATTGACAGCTAATCACCTCAAGACAATACAAAAATTCTTTATACATAATTTAAAAGTAGTGTAAGGGAGGTAATTCAAAGTTGTGTTTGAATTACCTCCCTTACACTGTAATTTGTACTTAATTGTCCATTAACCAGGACACCCTTGTTTTTTCTCTCTTTTTTGCCCCTAATTCCTAAACGGTTTGAGCCATAACCCCCCAAAGCCAATCCTAACCATCCCTTTGTGGTATGGAAACTTGTGGTATAATTTCAGAGAGATCCATACACTGTTCCACAAGTTATTGTCATGAAACTAGAAAAATGCTTATTTGGGCCCCTTGTTGGCCCCTAATTCCTAAACTGTTGGGACCATAACCCCCAAAATCAATCCCAACCTTCCTTTAGTGGTTATAAACCTTGTGTTTAAATTTCATAGATTTCTATTTACTAATACTAAAATAATTGTCCGGAAACCAAATGTCTTCGGACAACGACGACGATGTGATACCAATATACGACTGCAAAATTTTTTGCGGTCATATAAAAAATACAAGAATAAACTAAAAGTGCTACACAATATACAATGACCTCTATCTAAACCAGACAAAAAAATCTGCTAAAATAACCTCCAATTTTCCTGTGAAACTGAAAGTTTATCAGATCATCCAGTTGTTGGATAATGCTTTTTCAATGGAAGTATATCTATAGGGACATTGTATCAACTTGGATCTTATTTTTGATACATAAAGCAACCATTTTTATTGAACTTACAATGTTTATACCCTGAAATCAGATAAAATAGAAGAAAGAATTGAACTTACGGTGACTCAATGTAAGAATTGTACATAAGGAAAAAAATGTAGTAATATATATGATGAATAAAATACTATATGAATTTCAAAAGTTTCCTTTGTGAAAACTAATGCCCCTATCTGCGAGTCTGTGACCAATTTCCTAAATGAAAAATCAGACAATGTCACAAAATTGTGTGATGACTTGTGGTACATACATTTTTTTTGTAGTTATTATACCAGTGGAAAGTGTTCATAATATTTTATTCTGCAATTCAACCAATGTAAGTTGCTCATAATGAAACATGCGCTTGATCTGGATTTCACAAATATGAAACAATACAAACAAAAAATATTCTATATACATATATATTCATATCTCCAAAATCAGTCACAACTTAAAAATAAGGAGATGTGGTATGATTGCCAATGAGACAACTACACATGTATACACCAGAGTTCAAATGAAATGGATGTAAGCATTTATAGGCCACTGTATGGCCTTCAACAAGAGAAAAACCTATAGTGTATATAGTCAGCAATAAAAGGCCCCAACAAGAAAATTGTGAAACAATTGTCCTAATGCATGCATGGCTTATAATTATGTCCAGTTTGAAAGAAATGAATAAATCAAACTTACTTACTAAAAAATATTTATTAGTAACTACCATAGGTGAAATATTTCACTGATTTGTTGGGGGTATGTTGTTCCTTTGTATATCTACATTTTTATTATATAACTCTTGGTTAAACTATGTACATCTGTACATGTACATAGGCAAATTTTGAGTTCTTTTTTTATGAATGAGTAAAGCCAGTTGACCCAAGGTCAATACACCTTATCGCCATTTATTCCATTTCGGATAAATTCTGAAATTACACAGCTCTTTCAAACCAGTTGAAGCTATAGGGCCCTGTTTAAACAATGTACTGTATGTGCATACAAATTTTCAAAGAGTTATGTGTGAACCATTGTAAACACTTCCTACAAAGCATTTTTCTTACTTTAATTTGTGCTAAAAAAATCGGATCATAAACCATACAAATTTTAAAATGTTCACTTTCTACATGTTTTCCTCCCTCAGCTCATTCCTGATGACCTTTGTTTTTGCAACACTTGACCCTAACAGGAAATTGTCTAAGTGACTGTTTTTTCCCCAAATTAGACTAAATAGTGATAAGGTGTATTGGCATAAATGATTTATTTAACAATCAAATTTTTCTGTGACAATAAAAAAGCATTTTAACATAGGAAACGTATGAGAAAATGCACGAATATAAAGTGGTCAAAAAACAACTTTCATATTCATCCATTTCCTATGCTTATATTATTAAAACCAAGGTTTGGCGGTAAATACCGCCCCAGACAATACTCCTTGAGTGGTCAATACTGGTATATTGAAAAATTTTCATGGTTCTTAAAACAGACTTACATTTGTAACTTTCAATTCTAGTTAAACATTGGTTGATGGGGGGAATTATGTTAACTTGTTTAATTTATAACCAGAGACATATATATATATATATAAGTACGTCTGAACCAGTGACGACTCTACAACAGATTTTATCCATCGGATCACCAGTGATGGTCATACAAGGCTGAAAACACATTCTGTATATATAATTCGTCTAAATAACAGCCCAACAATGTTAGATCTGTAAATTTGTGTTAGCAAATTTTTTGTTCTTCCCTGGCCGGGATTCGAACTCATGCCACTGAGAAATATCGTGGCACCAAATCGCCTTGCACTGTGCCCGACGCGCTAGACCACTCGACCAACTAGGCTCAACAATAATAAAGCTTTTGGTGGCCGGGTGTTACTTTTCCTCGTCAGTTTTAATCTAGCGTCGTAACACAGTACATGATATATAAGGCATGAAGATGTAATTGTGACAGATCAGCTGAATTATCTATTGTAAAGGATCCTACAAATTAATGTAAGATGCATATAAGATATATATATATATATATGTCTCTGTTATAACACAGTAAATTGTTCAATGAGGTCATTAATGCTGGTTGACCTGAGTGAAACAGCATAACTTGGTCTATTTAATGCTGTTTTAGATTAATTGTGAACCAGCATATTATAATCTAAGAGAGATTTAAATTTTTATAATCTAGGTCCTACAATGCCTTTCAATTTCCGGGTGAACAGGTTTGTCAGTACAATGAGTAATTTTGTAGTGTACACATGACCATATTCAAATTGTCTTCTGATTGACATTTTAAGGTTCATCATTACAAATGGACAAAAAAGGCTGTGTTTACACCCCAAAAACTGTTCTGAGTACAGACTAACGGTGAAACCTGTGCAAGGATTTGTATAGTACAGTCCAAAAAAGAATTTTATCTTTCTGAAACACAAAATGCTAATACATTCTATATGTCTAGTGGATACCAGGCCTTTAAACTTTACCAACTGCACAGGTTAGGTGTAAATACAGCCATATTTGTCTATTTGTTATGATGAACCTTAACAAATTCACTACTGAGCTATTAATGAGAAAGAACTTCTGTTTGACGAAACAAATACACGTTGACAATGATACCCTTTGAGACTAACAATCTACCAGCAGCGGTAAACGCTGTTAATCTTAATAGTTATGATAATTTTTACCCTACTTCATGGGCGCAGACATCTTTAAAAATAACGCCATCTATACGAATTTATATACACTCGTACCTTTACAATTGAATACAAGACAACTCGGCCCGAAGATAACTGGAACCTAGGACTAACATACATATTAGTGTAATAGTTCCAGTTCGGACCGTCTACAGAAAAAACACAACTTGGACGTCAAAACTCTATAAAGCCAACTCGGACCGTCTACAATGCCAACTTAGACAAACTATAGTAACAGAGACCTTGCAAAGACCGATATTAAACAGAGACATATTATGAAAAGTTTTGACAACCATCAGTCTTATCCTATTTTTACCAACTCGTTCCGTTACTAACTCGTACCGGTAACCCCATGTTTTATATCATTCATATGCATTATTGTTGTATCTTTTGTAAATCAGGTATTGGATATTTAAATATTTTGACTGTCTTCGAGCACTGACTGAGCCGTGACTGAAATTACTCTGGGACTATTATACTATAGTATAATAGTCCAAGGGTTACTGAAGGGACTGGTAGTAATTGTCGAAATAGGCATCTGGTGCCGTAAGTAAATTGGTGCCGTCGCATTATTATAAAAAGTAAAGATATAATCGTTGGAACAACTGATATAATTTCCGAATGATTTATTTCATTTAATATAGCAATGTATTGAAATAAAACTGAGACTACTGTAACACAAATTCTGAGACTACTATAACACTGTGTTATAGTAGTCTTAGAATAAAATAAACAAACAATTGATTAGCAGTAGTACTAATCATTGGTCTTTATGTTGGTCGGTCATTTATATTCATGCATATTTTCCACTGGTCGTTATGCAAACAACAATCAACTAATAATTTCATGATTGAAATAAATGCGGCAATCTGATATATTCTTGTACACTCTCCATCTTAGACTAGAAAATGAATTAGAAGAAAATGTATATTCTGAAACTTGAAAGAACAAGTTTATATAGTTTTGAGAGCAATCTTGGTTTTCGAATCCAACTTTGCCTGACTGAATTGCAACCTTTTAATATACACTTTGTTAAAAAATATCTAAATTTATCCAAGACGAATTTAAGAAACGGGTATGTTATAGATCATGTTAGCTGTTCTGAGCTATTACAACTTGCATAACGAAATCACAGGTATTTTTTTTTAGATTGCATTTACAGATCACCACATCTCCTTTTATTCACAAGCGTTATTTTTAGTGGGAAGAATATTTAGAGCTTGACACATTTTTTTATTCACGACATCTGTTTATTTTTGTTGACCTCTGGATGTCTCCTTTTCGTGTCATTGGTTTACTGTCTCATTGACGTATACCCCACATCTCTTATTATTCATATCAATATTCATTTTCATCCTGTCTTATGCATTTTTTACTAGGCTAGGATATTCATTTTCAAAATCATCCTTCTCCCGAAAGTCAAATGGTTGTGCTGTCAAGGTATATTTGTTCCGCCTAACAGAAGTTTCACTGGAAGCTTTCACTAAACAATGTCATAACATCTGTTCCTGTTGGAACAAATATTCTATACCCTTTATCCCGTAAGGAACATATACTGTACTATTTGTTCCCGTGGAAATAATATTACAGAATATTTCTTCCACATGGAACATATATTATGAAGGATCTTCTATTTCGTGACAGTCTCCTTACCAAGATCATCTGAATAAGTATGATATATTGCGAGCACTTACATCATAGCATGCATCAGAAGTCGCCTATCAGCTATTGAATGTATTTTTACTTTTCGATGCTCTACATAGCAGTTGGCTAACGGACGTACATTTAGGCTAATGTTATCAAAGAACTGAAAAATTGTCGGTAGATTGTACAAAAGTCCATGGAAATCCTAGACATTCTCAATCGCAAGGAAGTGTTGAAAGAGGGAATGCAGATATAAAAGATATGCTGGTTATCTGGATGATAGAAACTAATTATAAAAAGTGGAATATAGGGTTAAAATTTGTACATACAGTTTGAGAAAAATAAGTTTTCACACCGGTATTAACAGATCACCATACAGGGCCATATTTGGCTGTGATGCAAAGATAGGATTATCGTCATCATCACTACCTCATGAGATTCTTGGGTCTTTACAGTCTGAGGAAGATCTACGTCAGCATCTTGAAAGCTCTGATAAGCCAGATGAGGTAAGCTGCGTTGAATCCTTCGGAAACTCAGGATGCATCACTAGTTGTACGTGAAATCCCGTGTTTTTCGAATGTTCAGTGTTTCACTTGTGCAGAGTACATACGTCAGCTGTGTTCAAAATCAAGCATGTCTGATACTAATACTTGTAATCTGTGTTCAAATGAAGAGATAATAACAAATGATATAAGACATGCATCCGACTATTTGAAAAAAAAACAAGCTGTCCGGATGAGAAATTTATCAGAAGAGTTTTGACAGAGGAGGATGTTGGAGCGAATGTGTTGATTCCAATTCCCCATGTGGATCGCAGAAAAGGAGACCCGCGTAACGTTATGGCTGTTGTAACTGGCAAAGAAGAGCACGACGAACTGGGAGTTAAAGACGGAATACTACGCGGAATTTACACCAGGAATCAGTTTGAACTATCAAACAGTAATTTTAGTCATATTCAATCTGTAAATTTTGACAATGAAATATCATAAAGAAAAGCTGTGAGTAGAGTGTCTTTGTAGGATGGTCAGGGTTTCACAAAATGTGGTTATAGTGTGACTGTATATATGTTCCACATGGAACAAAATAGTATAATACAAAAGTTCCTGAGAACTAAAATTACATGATATGTTCTTTCTACAACAGAATATTCACATATATAAATGACGGAACTTACAAAAATAAAGGTAAGAAGCAATTTTACATTCATGAGCATTTATGGCATAAAAGTATAGTTTTTAAACGTAAAATGTTTTGTTTCTTCAAACTATAAAGTTCATCATAACCTTTTGGCTAATATGGCCGTATTTACACCACTTTTAATCTGAGTACAGACAAACCTGTGCACCGGGAAAAGTTTTAAGGCATGGCAGGAACTAGATAATTAAATTTTAAATGCATTTTATGTTTCAGAAAATTTTAAACTTTCTGGATTTTGTTATTCATTTTTTTTTCATTCCTGCAGAAGGTGCCAAAATAAATTAAGTTGGGAAAGAGGTTTGAGAAGCTCCCCTGATAATAAATGTTGTGAGTAGTATTGAGTTAAATGGACAATAGACATCTGCAAACAATAAGTGATTTTATAGCTATAAATACGTTACCATCATACATTCTGAGTGTACCCCAACTGCGTCATTAGGTCAGATGGAATATCCCCGACTAAAAGTAAACGTACTATCACTGGTCCGGACATATACCCCTGTGTACCCATATTCTACCATTCAATTTCCATCTGCGACATTGGTCACACGTGTATTTACAGATTTAACAGAGAAATTTTTTTTTTGTTGTAAAGTTTTTTTTAATTGCTTAATTGCTATTCAAATTTATATTGTGTATTATTGGAAAACAATTCCCTTGTTTAGTATTAATTTCTAGACAAAATTATTTGTTTTTTTTGACTAAATTTAATTATGGACTATAATTTGAATAGTCCTTCGTCACTATTCCTGGTTCGGACTATCTCCTGGATGGGTCACTACCTTTAAGAAGTTCCCCCCTAACTACCAGTACATTAACCAGAGTTTAGACAACGGTGTCTGGTAATGCTACCTATCCGACCCTTTCACAAGGTTCGGCCATGCATTTAGGGGGGGGGGGGGTCCCTACGTCAACTTCGGTGACTCATACCTTATCTAGGCCTGTTAATTCATCGGGTACTATTCGTTCTGTCCCAGGTACAGCTATGGGCTTGAACTTGCCAGGTTCTAGACCCCCAGTATCCTATTGTGGGTATATGCTTCCCAACTCGGGCACCCAACCTTTACCCTCATGGTCTCAGCAACCTTGTCCGCAGTCTTACCATTATGGTGGGTTTATGCCAAACCAACCTGGTTTTTGGCCTTATAGGGACAATATCTATGGTCCCCCTTCTGGGGTAGCTACTGCTCCACCAGTAGCAGTATCTTTGACTCCTGCAGTAGCTCCTTCTAACCCTGTACCTGACTCTCGAGCTCAGTCTTCTAGCTCTTCTCATGGTAATCAGGGTTCTGAGTCTGCACCATCCTTAGATGGTTTTCAGAAGTTACTTTTGGATTTTGGTGAGTCTTTCAGGGCTGAGTTTAGTACTCAATCCAGTCGTATGTTTCTACTGGAGAGTAGAGTTTCTTCTCATCAACCTTCTCCAGCTAAGTCTGTAGAATATGATGAGAGGGAGGTTGACGTTCTGTTTCCCCTGGGAGTCAAGAAATGGATTTCCTCACTGATGAGGATGTTGATAGTTCTTCTTCTCCCAAGGTATCGAAGACGGCCCCTGAGCCTACTTCTAAGTCAGCTCACAAACCTTCCACCAAGGAGACTGAGGATCCGACTTCACCCTTGACGGATCTTAGGGATAAGGTGTATACCCTGATGAGGGATGAAGCACATATCCCTTTTGCCTCTCCTTCCAAGCCGAAGAGACCTTCTTCAACTTTTGAAGCTTCCTGTGGTATTTCTCTGGATACTGTGACTTCTCACAATTCTTTTCCTGAATCTGGCCATATGGCATTTGCTTTACAAATTATCAATGAAGATATTGCTAATTCGGCTAGTGAAAAGGTTGCTAATAACAATATCTCTGGATTTGGTATATCTTCCTTTTCTGATCACTTCAAGTACAAAGATTTTGATATCTTTGATTCTTCGCTGGTTAGACTTGTTCCCATTTGTGACAAATCTTTTTCATCTTTATTGGGAACAAAGCCAGTAGATGGTCTTCGTCTCACTCAAACTGTTTGGGCAAAGACTGAGAATCTCCATCGTAGTGCTTCTAAAGTTCTTGGCACAGCCGAACATTTTCTAGCTGCAACCGGACATTTGCTTAACAGCGAAGATTTGGTTGTTCCAGCAGAAGTACAATCTTTCTTACTTCAACTGGATAAAGCTCTAGTTTCATCTCAGTTGCTTTTAATGG